GGAGGGAGGGAGGGGTTCCCTTCCGCGACTCCCCCCTGCGGCTTCGAGAGGGTCCCCCCCGGTCCCCCCGGGCGGGGGCAGAGCGTCCAGCCTGGAGGTTGGGGGGCGGAACCCGGGGGAGGGGGCCACGGCGGGGTCAGAGGCCACACAGCCCCCCCGCCCCCCCCGTGCGGGCAGTGGGCTCTGCTGCCTGGAGGGGCGCTGGAGGCATTCCGGGGGGCCAGGCCTGGGAAACACACACACACACACACACACACACACACACACACACACACACACACACACACCCCGCCTCCCGGTCCTTCTCCCCGCCGCCCGACAGCTGTGCCCCTGCTGGGCCACTCACCGCTGCTGCTGCTGCTGCTGCTGCCGCGGCGTCTGGGGCCGGGGCCTGGCCTGCGCGGGGGTCATCGGGCCGGGCCCTGCCTCTCCCCTGAGGCACAGCTGTCGAGAGGGCGCCCCGCAGCACCGGCCTCACGCCTCTCTCGTGTCCACGTTGCAGATGCCGCCTTGGGTGCCCCCAGGATGAAGCTGAAGAAGCAGGTCACCGTCTGTGGCGCCGCCATCTTCTGCGTGGCCGTCTTCTCCCTCTACTTGATGCTGGACCGCGTCCAGCATGACCCCGCCCGGCACCAGAACGGGGGCAATTTCCCTCGGGTGAGTGGGCGAGTGGGCGGGCATCGCCGAGCCCCTTCGGACTTCCACGAGGGGTTCTCAGGCCGGGGCTGGTGTCCACTCTTGGAGTTAGGCGGCCGGGCCTGCCCATTCCTCCCCACATCGGCTCCGCCACAATCTAGGGGCCTTCCCCACAGGGCACGGCCTCACCTGGGCCACCCCTGGGCTTACCGGCCTGCCCCCTCCCTCCCTCCGCCCCACCCCAGAGCCAGATCTCCGTGCTCCAGAACCGGATCGAGCAGCTGGAGCAGCTCCTGGAAGAGAACCACGAGATCATCGTCCACATCAAGGACTCGGTGCTGGAGCTGACGGCCAACGCCGAGGGGCAGCCCGTCGTCCTGCCCTTCCACATGCCCAACGGCTCCTGGATGCTGCCCCCGGAGAGCCGCCCCCCCAGCTTCTACTCGGTCTCCTCCCAGGACTGCCAGTTTGCCCTGGGTGGCAAGGCCCCCAAGACGGACCTCCAGGTGAGGAGGCAGGAGGCCGGAGCCCCTGCACGCGCGGGGGGGGGGGGAGAGGGGCTCCTGAGAGGAGGGGGGCCTGGTACCCACACAGGCAAGGGAGTAGCCAGCACCTTGGGCAGGGGGCAGCAGGGCAGGGTCCCGGTGAGTCGGCCAATGCCTCCTTCCCCCAGATGCTGGCTGTGTCTGCGTTGCTCCCGTACGACAACCAGGACGGCGGGGTGTGGAAGCAAGGCTTCGATATCACGTATGAGCCCAACGAATGGGACACGGAGCCCCTGCAGGTCTTTGTGGTGCCGCATTCCCACAACGACCCAGGTAAGCGGGCGGCCGCCCTGCAGTCGTATCCCCCCCCCCCGTCCCCCGGTCCCCGGCCCCGGGAGCCTGGAGCAGAGCCCCTCCAGTGTGACCGTGGCAGCAGCACGGGCTGTCCAGGCAGCGAGCACATCGAAGGCCTGTGCTTTCTTAACTGTAGCCAGCCCCCTTCAGGACAGCAGGTCCTTTCCGCGAGGTCGGAGTCCCTGTTCCGGAGCCGTCTGAATGGGGAGAGTCCCGGGGGGGGGGGGCAGAGGCCGAGGTGGCCAGAGAGGCCCAGGAGCCTCGGTCTCAAGCGCTGGCCAGGATTTCCTCCCACAGGCCTCTTTGAGCTGCAGAGAGCTGTGCTGAGCAGGTCGCGGGTCTGATTCCACAGAAAGCAGCGTTTCCGCTGTCCCACAGGAAATCTTAACTCTGCCGCAGATGCAAGGGGTGCTGCTCTGTCTGTGAGCCTAGCTGGATGGCAACCCACACACGGGGTCCCTGAGACCTGGGCTGCAGCAGACCTGGGGGGGGGGGCGTCTGCTGTAACCCTCCATTGTTGTCCCCCCTCCCCCCCCCAGGCTGGATCAAGACCTTTGACAAGTACTACTTTGACCAGACGCAGCACATCCTGAACAGCATGGTGGTGAAGCTGCAAGAGGACCCGCGGCGGCGCTTCATCTGGTCCGAAATCTCCTTCTTTTCCAAGTGGTGGGACAACATCAGTGCCCAGAAACGGGCTGCCGTCCGCAGGTGAGAAGGGAGGGAGGGATGTCAGTTGCTTTCCTGGTCTTTTGGGGGGCAGTGTTTTTGGACAGAGCACCCGGTGGGGTGCCTGTGTGTCCGTCCGTCCGTAGATGCCTGTGTAACGAAAGAGGGATTTGCAGTGACCATCACGTGAACGCTTATGTCTGTCACATGGGACTCTGAAAGGCCCCTTGGCCTTTTTCATTGGCTCAACTCTCGCAGACTTCCCAGGCTGTTTTGGTACACCAGAGTGTCTGCCCCATGGAGGAATGAGACTAGCTCTTGTGAAAGAAAGGGGGGGGGTGTGCTAAGAGAACCAGCAGTTCCTAGACTAAGGAACGAGCTCCCTGTTGACCGAGAGCCATTTCCCGTAGTAGAGGCCTCTCTGCCTCTGGGAATGGGTCTCTTTGCCCCCGAGGCCTGCTCTGCCGCAGCAGGGAGAGTTCTCTCTCCGCTCACTGCAGAATTAGCCGGAAGCTCCCCGGCCTGCTTGTCTGCATGGGTCTCCCCTGGCTGCGTGAATCTCGCTGGCTTGGCAGTGCAGGAGAGAAGAAACGGCCGTCTCTTGCAGCCTTTTCACCTCTGAGCGAGTCTGACTCTGAACTTCTCTGTTCCTGAGGTGCTGGGTGAGGAGGGGGAGGTGTGTGTGTTGACGGGAAGGAGCGCTCCGTCCGAGGCAGGTTCTGACTTTGTGCTGTAAGCCCGACTGAAGCAGGAGCCTCACTGTTCTGAGCTTTGGCCTAACGGTGGCTCCAACCCTGATCACAGGCTGGTGGGCAACGGGCAGCTGGAGATGGCAACTGGAGGCTGGGTGATGCCCGACGAAGCCAACTCCCACTACTTTGCCATGATCGACCAGCTCATCGAGGGGCACCAGTGGCTGGAGAAGAACATTGGTGAGTGCCGTGGCCTGGGCCCAGCGGGCGTGGAGGCCTTTGGCGGGGCGGGGTCTTTTGCCGCTCTACGTGGCATTGCTGGGGGGGGGCAGCACAGGCTGGGGGGCAGCAGTGCTGAGGCCTGGCAGTTAGAGGGCAGCGAGTGCGGCGTGGCTGCTTGCGGGGCCTGAAAGGACAGGAGGTACCCAGCTGGCCGAGGGACCGTGTTGCTGGGGGCAGCCAGAGACTTCAACAGAGGACTCTGCAGTGTGGTGTGGTGGTTTTAGAGTGTCAGGATGGGACTGGGGAGACCCCCAAGCTCGAACCCCCTCTCTGCCAGGGAAGCTTGCTGGGGGACCTTGGGCCAGTCACACGCTCTTGGCCTCGCCTACCGCACAGGGTTGCTGTCAGGACAAAATGGAGACTCTCATAAGCCACTTTGGGTACTCCTCATTGGGTCCTCCGGCAGCAGAATCATGTCTGTCTCTAGAAGGCAGGTTGCGAGGGAGGACAGGCCATGCGGCAGCCCACCCCATGGCGGCCATCACAAGCGTACAGCCACCGTGGGTATCCCCTGCTCCCCCCGCAGTGGATATTGCTCAGGGGCAGGAGAGCACAGCAGCGCCCCTCAGGTCCCCCGCTTGGGCGGATAATGCCCCTCCTTCGGCCACGCGTGACGTCACTGTGCCGCGTTTCACACACCAAGCAGAACCTGGAACACGCGGGGAATCCCTTCCGCCGCCCACTCCCAGGCTGGAGGCTGGAGCTCTTTTGGGAGAACAAAACAGAGGGAAGGCAGGACAAGCCAAACAGGCCCCTGGGAGGGAACACTCCCAAAGAACTGGTGTTGTGTCGTCGTAAACCCCCCCCCCCCAAAAGTGCAGGATTTCCTGGGGGAACGACACTCCTGAAAAGGGAAGGAACCCTTTTTTGCTGCTGCAGCAGAGATGCTGGGACAAGCGACTGGGAGAGATGGAAGGAAAACTTGGCAGGGTGTTGCCAGGTCGCCCCCCCCCCACCACTGGAAACATTCAGGGGGGAGATCCAGGGGATGTGTGTGTTTGGGGGGGGGGGGGAGCCGTTCTCTCAGGAAACGTGCAGTGACGCAAAGGCCGCTTTTGGGGTGCTGGGCCAGCACTCCTCTTCACCAAAGGATGAAAGGAGTGGAAGTGGCCTGGTGTTCCCAGAGCCTGCCTCTAAGCAGGGTTTCCTGGGGGGGGGACAGACATCCAGAGTGCCGTGGGGGGGGGGAGAACAGCCCAGGCTTAGATTCCCTGATCGACCGGCCCAGTGGAAGAGTTCCCCCCCCACGAGGCCCCTGGGAGAGAGTGTCGGGTCAGTGACTCTTGGAGGGAGAGGATGGCCGGGCCTGGCCCTCCCCCACTGGCTCGGAGCCCGTGCCCCCAGCTGCTGTGGATTCCAGCAGGCAGGCTTGGCACTCTGCACCACGCAGCCTGCAGACTCGTGGCCGATTACACCAGCAGTCCCTGGGATTGGGGGGCAGCCTTCTGCCAAACCCCATGGAGACAGTTGTGAAGCAGTCCAGGCTTTATGGCTGTTTGTGGCTGACAGCAGGGTGACGGGTGGAGCTGACCTTGCACGGAGGGCACAGGCTCAGCTGGACCACAACTTTCGGTTAAGCAGCAGCGCTGTCGGGACCAGAGGAGGTCTGTGCCCCCTGTCACTGTGGCCATAGGCTTTGCTCGTGCATCGTAAAGGCCAAAGAGAACATCCTTGCTGCCTCACCTGTTGGAAGGTTACCTGGAAAGAATCAAGAGAGGAGCAGTTGCGCGTTATGTTCAGCAGCCGCAAACAGTGGGAGCCGAGCTCCGGTAATCGGTTGGCGGCGTGGAGCTGGTGGCTGAGGGAGAGTTCACCTGCTTCCTGGGTGTGACGCCTTTCCTCTCGTTGAGGCTCCCTCGCTGTGGGAAAATATAGTGGGACCAATGTTCCCTCTAAGTTGTGGGGTCTTTTGAGCAAAAATTCTACTTTGTGAGCTACTGGCATTAAAGTTGTGAGCAAGAGATTTGGCTGCTGGATAAACTAGTTTGCTCTGGAGCCCAGCCTTCCTGAGCCGAGACAAAAATGTGTGAGCCAGAGGCTCAAAAACTGAGCTAGCTCACACTAACTCAGCTTAGAGGGAACACTGAGTGGGACCACGGTGGAAGAGGCACAAACAATAACAACTGTGTGTGTGTGTGTGTGTATGAAAAATCAGTGTCTAATTACAACAGCAAATCAAATCAGGGAAATATATATATATGTATGTATCAGTCACATAAAGCAACATGACAATATGTCGTATAAGTACATATCCGCATACAAAATGTACAAAAAATCCACACCAATCTTGTAACCACAATCCCTACCGTACAATATCAGAATACCAATAAAGAAAATTGTTCCACAGAGTATTGTATCAAAGTCTATGTCTCTGCTGGGTGGTTTGTAACGTACGTTGTAAGCAAGGTACCAAGATTCCAGGGCAGGGACTTCTAGTGAACGTCTGTTTCACGAGAGTCTCGATCAGTTTCTTGCCGTAGAGTCAAAGGGTTCTTCAAAAAATCTTTCAGCATCCAAACGTCATTCTGTCAGCGAACCCATTTGTAACTTTGAAGATCTGTGTTCCGGTATAGAAGCTTTGTGGGTGGATGCAAAAACTTTTTTGCATGTGGATATGTATTTATAGGACATATTTTCATGTTGCTTTATGGGACTCTATGTTACACACACACACACACACACACACACACACACACATATATATTTCTCTGATTTGTTTTGTTGTTGTAAATAGACATTGCATCTTTTGTTTATGTACACGGTGTGTATTTTTGTTGTTAGTGCATCCCCCGCGGTGGAGGCAGGAGGGACAGGGAGGCTTTGAGTCCCACTGCGGTTTCTGCTGGGGCTGCAGCCAATGTTTCCTCTAAGCTGCGGAGTCTTGTGAGCAAAAATCCCACTTGGTGAGCGACTGGCCTTAAAGTTGCAAGCGAGCGATCTGGCTACTGCATAAATTAGCTTGCTCTGGAGCCATCCGTCCTGAGCGAAGGCAAAAATGTGTGAGCCAGAGGCTAAAAAACTGTGAGCTGGGTTCCGAGAAGGCAGGTGTGAGCCCCTTGAGGACTGTCTGGCTGGCCACACTGGTAGCTGCCAGACTGGTGCCCCTTTGTGACCAGAAACACCCAGCCAAGGGTTGTTGTGAAGGAGCCAACATGATTATTGCTTGACAGTGAGTGCATGGCTGATGTATTTAATGTTAGGCCTTCATACTGTTCTGGTCTTCCACATCAGGAGACTCAAAAAAAGTGCCTCCAAAATGAACACGGTAGCCAGCTTGGCGTAGTGGTCAGGAGAGCAGACTCTAATCTGGGAGAACCGGGTTTGATTCCCCACTCCTCCACGTGCAGCTACTAGTGTGACCTTGGGTCAGTCACAAGTTCTCTCAGGGCTGTCCTTGAAAAAGAGCAGTGCCTGTCAGAGCTCTCTCTGCCCCACCTACCTCACAGGGGGTGTCTGTTGTGGGGAGGGGAAGGGAAAGGAGTTTGTAAGCTGCTCTGAGACTCCAAGTGTGAAGGGCCATGGGGTATAAATCCAGTCTCCTCCTCCTGCTCTTCTTCTTCTTCTCTATAGTATGATGGTCCCTCACCACCCCGGGCTGCTGCCGGTCCCACTGGCTCAGCTCACTCAGGGCCACGGGCTGTGAGTTGAAGAGGCAGGAGAGCAGCGCCTGGCCTGTTGTGTATTAATGCAGAACGGAAGTTGATTTCTTGGGAGGGGAGTGAAAAAACATTGTGGGCCTGTTGCAAAATGTCAGCTTCAATGAGGTCTTGCGACACTGCACTGCTCTAGAACGAAGAGTGCCTGACATTTCCAGCCTGGCCTTCAGAAAGTGTTGTGCCGATGGCCTGAAAGATAAGACTGAGTCATTAGGCGGAGGAGTCCTGCTGGGAAATTGGCAGGCGTTCTGTGTCGCCTCTGCTCTGATCGGGTTGCAGCAGGGGTGCCTTTGCGACCTCAGAGGGCCGCGTGTAAGGGAGACCACTTGCATGCAGAGGTAAAGGTGCCTGGGGCTGGGAAGGCCAGGCGCCCACTCTTAAGGCTCACGCAATGTCCAGGAGCTCTGCAGCTGCCCTCCCCCCCCTGGGGCCGCTGACCCCCGCCTCTCTTTGCCGCGCAGGGGTGATGCCGCGCTCCGGGTGGGCCGTGGATCCTTTCGGGCACAGCTCCACAATGCCATACCTGCTGCGCCGTGCCAACCTGACCAGCATGCTCATCCAGCGTGTCCACTACGCCATCAAGAAACACTTTGCAGCAACCCAGAACCTGGAGTTCATGTGGAGGCAAAGCTGGGGTGAGGGGGGGGTGAGGGGAGGGACGGTCCCAACCTTCCTTGTGGGCTGTGGGCTGGGCCTGTGGGCCAGAAAGGGATTCCCCCCCCCCCGAGGGCAGGTGGGATGGGGGACCCTGTTGCTTGTGCTCGGGTGCCCTGGCCCTGGGCCGCAGGGAACGATCCGTCCCACGAGGGTTCCTTCTGGCGCTCCGGCTCTGCCCGCTTGGCGAGATGCCCGAGAGGGGGGTGGGCGGAAGCCCGTGGGCTGCGGGGCCGCTGTGTTCTCTCGGAGTTTCTTGGGCCCTTCCTGAGCACAGAGGGCCTCCGGCTTTGCCTTCTCCAGACACGGACTCCAGCACAGACGTCCTCTGCCACATGATGCCCTTCTACAGTTACGACGTGCCCCACACGTGCGGCCCGGACCCCAAGATCTGCTGCCAGTTCGACTTCAAGCGCCTGCCGGGGGGCCGCATCAACTGCCCCTGGAAAGTGCCGCCCAAGGCCATCACTAGCGCCAACGTGGCTGAGAGGCGAGTGCCCGTGCGCACCGGTCCTGCTGGCGGGCGTGGCACACTCTCTCTCTGCTCCACACCGGCCCCGGCTCTGCTGCCGCCCGGCCCCCGGCCCCCCCCCCCCCATCCTCCCTCTGCCGCACCCCCTCGCCCGGCCACCCTTCTCCTCACGGCCCCTCTTGGCATCGCTCTTGAGGCTGCGGAGTGTCGTTAGAGAGTTGAGCCCAACACTTTTCTCCCGTGGGTGCCCTAGCACAGCTTCCAGCATTGTCCTTCTCTATCCTTGCGAAACCCCCACCCTGTGAGGTAGGCCAGGCTGTGAGTGTCGCTCCCCTGGCGGATTGGGGCATTTGAACCTGGGTCTCCCGGATCCTGTTCTGACGTGCTGTCCGCTGCACCGCTCCGGCCACTGTGGCCTTCCGCCCTCGCTTGCTGACTCCCCCTGGCCCCCTCCCCACGGGGCCCCTCTCCTCCCAGGGCGCTGCTGCTGCTGGACCAGTACCGGAAGAAGTCCAAGCTGTACCGCAGCAAAGTGCTGCTGGTGCCCCTCGGGGACGACTTCCGCTACGACAAGCCCCAGGAGTGGGATGCCCAGTTCCTGAACTACCAGCGCCTCTTTGACTACCTCAACGCCCACCCCGACCTCCACGTGCAGGTGCGATGGGCTGGCAGGCCCAGGGGCAGCTGGGGGCCAGGGGGCGGGTCCCTGCCATGTGTGAGAGCTCTTCCTCCCGCCTTCCCTTGCCCTCCGCCTGACCCTGGACGCTGGCTTGTGACGTGGCTCCTTGCTGTCCCGCAGGCCCAGTTTGGGACTCTCTCGGATTACTTCGATGCCCTTTACAAGCGGGTGGGCATCGTCCCCGGCATGCGCCCCCCCGGCTTCCCCGTGCTCAGTGGCGATTTCTTCTCTTACGCGGACCGAGAGGATCACTACTGGACCGGGTACTACACGTCCCGGCCCTTTTACAAGAGCATGGGTCGCGTGCTGGAGGCCCATCTCAGGTGAGAGTGTGGGGGGCCCATGCGGGGGGGGGGGCGGAATGGGCGTTTCTGGGATGTCGTGGAAGCCAACGGTGTCCTTTTATTCGAGGCAGGAGTGCAGAGATCTTGTACAGCCTGGCGGTGAGCCACGCCCGCCACGCCGGCATGGACAGCAAGTACCCGCTGTCTGACTATGCCATGCTGACCGATGCCCGACGCAACCTGGGCCTCTTCCAGCATCACGATGCCATCACCGGCACCGCAAAGGAGGCGGTGGTCGTGGACTATGGCGTCAGGTGCGTGCCAGGCTGGGCCGGGGGGTGGGGGGAGGATTTGGCCTCCAGGCCTGGTTCTAGTTCACATCTTCTCTCCCTCTCTCCCCCCCTCCCCCCCTTGCAGGCTCCTCCACTCCCTCGTGAACCTCAAGCGGGTCATCGTCGATGCTGCGCACTACCTGGTCCTGGGGGACAAGGAGGCCTACCACTATGACCTGGCAACACCTTTCCTCGGCCCGGTGAGCCCCACCGCACGGTCCCTCCCCTGGGCCCACCGGGAGGTCGCCGGGTTTGATCCTGGCTGGACTGGGGCCCTCCTCGGGGTTGCTGAGTCTCTGTCAGACTCCTGCAGCAGTTAAACGAGTATAAAGCCAACAGTCATGATAGTCTGACCCACAATCAAACAGTCATAAGACTTATAAAGAATGCTGTTTATGTATTGCAAACTAAAGCACTACAACATGATACACAACTCAATAGAAAATCCTTGAACCAAGGTACATAATCAACGTTGTCTCCAGATTACATAACAACGTTTCAAAAAATGGATCTTCTTCAGGAAATATAGTGGTGCCAAAGCTCTGTTTCATAAATGTTAGACAACAAGTCTTATGGATATTAAATTCAGATAGGACGCTGATCTCAATTAACATTCAGGCTCAAAATATGCTGCTATGTTTCTACTGGATCCCGGGCACCTGGAGACGACGTTGATTATGTACCTTGATTCAAGGATTTTCTATTGAGTTGTGTATCATGTTGTAGTGCTTTAGATTGCAATACATAAACAGCATTCTTTATAAGTCTTATGACTGTTTGATTGTGGGTCAGACTATCACGACTGTTGGCTTTATACTCGTTTAACTGATCGGATCGTGTGTGTCCAGACTCCTGCAGCAATCAGTTCCCAACAGCTTTCATTCAAAGATGTACAGTTTATTGAGACATGGAGAGTATGCAGATATCTTAACACCTTTAGTGTCAGAACTGGCCTAAAGCGGGCGAAGCAAGCGGGTAGACACTATTCAAGGGGGTCCCCCTGGTGGCTCAGGTCCAATCAGAGGCCAGGTAGGAACCCGCCAAAGTAACGGGCAATCATTCCCAGGAGAAAAGTACACCAGACACTCAAGGCCGAAGGCTTCGGTTACATAGATAAAGAAATGCTGGAAACACAGCAGAAACGAAAGTTAAAATTCCAGAGTCCCCCCACACACACCTGTGGCAGCTAGAACAGCCAGAGGCCTCGCTGACCGTCTCCTTCTCTTTCCCAGGACGAGACACGCCTCAATCAGGACTCTCTGCCGGAGAAAACCATCCTCAAGCTGGATGCGGCGCCCAGGTGGGAAGAGCCTGTTGCGGAGGGGGGGGGGTGGGGGGGCCGGTGTGGCTGCCCGCAGTAGGTGGGGGAGGGGGCCCTAGACCGCCCCCCCGCCAAGATGCTTGTCCTCCTGCCTGGGTCTACTGTGTCCTCCGCAGAGGGGCCTGCTAGTTTGGGCCCTGTTGGGGGAAATGGGAAGGTTGCGTGAAGAGCACGGGGGGGGGTGTTGACAGGCCCCCCTCCGGCCTTCCAGCCACCCCCTCTTCTAACTGCACGACCCACTTGCAGGTTTGTGATTGTGTTTAACCCCCTGGAGCAGGAGCGCCTGAGCATCGTGTCCCTCCTGGTGAACACGCCTCGCGTCCGTGTCGCCAACGATGAGGGGCAGCCTCTGGCCGTGCAGCTCAGCGCCTGGTGGGCTTCGGCCACGGACATGGCCCCCGAGGTCTACCAGGTAGCCCGCTGGGGGTTTCCTCCGCGTGTCCGTGGGTGGGCAGAGGGGGGACCGTGCTGGATGGCTGGGGGCGGCCTTCATCTCCAACCGCTGAGGGGTGGGGAAGGCCGACCCCCTTCCCTCTCTGTCCGCGCACCGCGCACCGATACATGCTGACCGGCACAGCCAGGCTCTTCAGCGCGTTTCTGTTCTCCAGACAGACCTGGTCACCGTTGCTCACCTAGTGACTGGAGGCTGTTGCGGGTGCCCCGCCGGCGCCCCGTATACAGCTGCCCCTTTCTGTGCTCCGATTTGACAGGTGTCCGTCATGATCCGACTGCAGCCGCTGGGTCTGACCGTCCTGCAAGTGAGCAAGTCTTTCGACAGCCACAACACCCTCAGGTCTTCTGTGCGCCTCTTCCTGCACGGCCGTGACCTCCCGGTGCGCAAGCACGAGGCCTTCCCGGTGCGCATCGTCCCCGCTGCCACGGATGACTTCTGTCTGGAGAACCAGCAGATGCGGGCCTGCTTCTTGGGGCCCAGCGGCCTGCTCAAAGTACGCTCGCCCAAAGCGGGGGGGCGTGTGCGTGCGTGCGTGTGTGTGTGGGCCTAAAGGGGGATGGGGAGGACTGGTGTGTGTGTGTGCGTGTGTGTGGGGGGGCTCCTGCTGACCGGCGCTTCTCCTCCTGCATCCTGCAGAGTGTGCATCACGCTGGGGAGGAGCGGGAGCAGAGGCTGCAGAGCCAGTTCCTCATCTACGGGACCCGGAGCACCAAGGACAAGAGCGGGGCCTACCTCTTCCTGCCCGACGGAGAAGCCAAGGTCTGGGTGGGGGCCCTGGGAGGGGGAGGGAGAGGAGCCTCGCCTTGGGCCAAGCCTGGAACTTCCCAGGTTCCCGCAGCAGAGATCCACTCGCCTCCTCTCCCTTGGGCGGCAAACGCTGCTCCAACCCAGGTGTGACCCATTGATTGCTTTTGGAGATGCCGGAGTCCTGCTTTCGTGGTGCCAGCTGAGGGCATGTTCAGAAGGCGGTTCTCCCCCCCCCCCCCCGCCCCAATTTTTAGCTTCCCAAGTTGTCCCCCCTCGGGGGTGGTGGTTTGGTGTAGTGGTGTAGAGCCAGTTTGGTGTAGTGGTTAAGTGCTGGCAGACTCTAATCTGGGAGAACCGGGTTTGATCCCCCACTCCTCCTCCACTTGCACCTGGCTGGATGATCTTGGGCAAGCCGTAGTTCTGATAAGAGCTGTTCTTGAAAAAGAGCAATTTCTGTCTGAGCTCTCTCAGCCCCACCTGCCTCACAGGGTGTCTGTTGTGGGGAGGGGAAGGGAAAGGAGTTTGTAAGCCGCTCTGAGACACCTTTGGGTAGTGAAGGGCCATGAAGTATACATCCAATCTCCTCCTCCTCTTTCCTGGGAATTTCTGCTGCTCACTTGGCCTTCCTGTGTCTCCCGCGCTACCGCCAGTCCACACCCCGATGCCTTGTCTTTTTTGTGGAGAGATTCTGGGTTCACCACAATGTCCTTCCAGACCTATTGATGTTGCTTTGACTGCACGGGGCTGCTCCAGCTTTGCCCTGTTTGGGAAATACTATGACGACGACGACGACGACGACGTAGTACCGTATGCCATTGTGTGTAGAATAGCCAGGAGATCCTAAGATTGTCTGGCAGCCAGAAGTTCTAGCTCTTTAACGTTATGCACCACTAGGTGGTGAGCTAGACTTGTTTTTAGGGTGAGAAACATTTCAGAGGTGCTTTTTCCACTGCCTGCTTCTGCACCACGACTGGTATTCCTTGGAGGTCACCCTTCTAAATACTAGCCGAGGCCGACCCTGCTTAGTTTCCGAGACCTGACGGGATCGGGCTAGCCTGGGCTATCCAGGTCGGGGCTTTGGGAAAGAATGCCTTTTGAGGAGGCATTTAATGTGCTCTAAAAGGATGTGGGCCCTTCTGCACGTAGGTGGGATTTCAGTTTCTCCCTCGTAGGAGCATCTGAAAGATTTTGATCCTTTTGATTGCAGAAAGTTTCCTTGTAGAATTTGGTTGTGAGCCAGAGTTGTAGTTGTTGTTTCTCCTAGTGGGATCTGGTCGCACAAACAGCTCTTTAAGATTTTGCATTTGCTTGTTTGTAAAGGGCATGTTTATTGAGTCTGTGTGCAGCCATTTCTAAAGACTGTTGTGTGTGTGTGTGCCCCCCATGAGCCTGTGGGGAAGCAGGCTGAGAAACCGAGGGGCGTGTTTGTTGCTACACCCGCCTGCCCTGCTCCCTCTCCCTTGCAGCCCTACACCCCCAAGGACCCTCCCGTGGTCCGGGTGACGGAGGGGCCCTTCTTCTCAGAGGTGGCCATCTACTACCAGCACATCCAGGAGGTGGTGCGGCTCTACAACGTGCCAGGTGGGGGCTGGGGAGCAGCGGGGCGTGTGGGAGGGCTGGAAAAAAATGGGGGGGGGGCTGGTGGGTGGGGAGAGGAGTGGGGAGACCTGTCCTCCATACACCGCCCTCGCCTCCTTTGGCCCCAGGGGTAGATGGACTGTCCCTGGAGGTCTCCTGCCTGGTGGACATCCGTGACCACGTCAACAAGGAGCTGGCCTTGCGTTTCAGCACCGACATTGAGAACAAGGGTGCTTTCTTCACGGACCTGAACGGATTCCAGGTATATTGAGGCTGGGGCAGGGAGGAAGCATGAACCCCCCTTCCCGGGCTTTGCTCGGGTTGAACGGCTGCACGTGTCCTTGGACAAATTCTTCTCTGCCGGCAGATCCAGCCCCGGCAGTACCTGAAGAAGCTACCGTTGCAGGCCAACTTCTATCCCATGCCAGTCATGGCTTATATCCAGGACAGGCAGAGCCGCCTGACCCTGCACACAGCTCAGGCGTTGGGCGTCTCCAGCCTCAGCAGCGGTGAGTGGAGCAGGAGAGGCTGAAGTCCTCCGAAATGGGGGGCTGCCGCTCTCCCATTGGGGGCTTTGTTATGGGGCTTGGGGCTGACCCCCAGGGAAGCTCCCAGTGTTTGGGGGTGGGTCTCTGGGGCACACGAGGAAAGTCTGGGAGCTGTTGTGGTGAAGCAAAGGCCTCTTCCCGTATGGACAAGTTTCCATTAGCATTATTGATAGTCCCCCTTTTCACAAACTCAAAGCCGATTACACAGTGCGGCTCAGTGCAGCCAGTAGGATGAGACCTCTAATAAGCTTAACCGATGTTGAATTAGGACAGGCTAGTAATTCTTAAAGCTGCAGCATTTAAAGTCTTCCATTACTTTAGTTCTCAGACTCTGAGGTTTCTTCCCCTTGTTCCGCAACATGTGGGCAAGACAGAGTCCAGTTATAAAGCCTCAGTCCTTTGTGGCTTGAGCCAGAACGGTCAAGCGATAAGAGAGCTTCTTCCTGGTGTCCAGGGAATTTATACTCTTCCATTGGGAGTCATTCCCAGTCTTCCTGGCCCAAGAGGAAGAAATACAGTCTAGCCTTTCAGCTTCCCAAGTCCCCGTCCCTTTGGTGTGACAGTGTAGCCGAGGTGTTAGCTGGTGAACCTTTTGTTCCACTCCAGCAAGAGCCATTTGCATGACTAAGCACTGAAGTGTTGCCTGCCTCCGCTCCTCTACTTCGTCTCTTTGCCAGAGACTAACTTGCACCCAGGCCTCCTGGACACGGACAGAGTGCAGGCACAATCACTATAATGTTAACCTAGGGTGGAAGGCATTTCTCCGCCCCTAGGCCTCACGGATTCTGCACCGGCAGGATCCTGCAGTTGGGTCCTATTTGTTGTTGTGTGTGGGAGGGCTGTTTGAAAGCCTTCTGTTTATGTTCATCTGATACCCCCTGTTTCCCCTTGATTTGCAGGCCAGCTGGAGGTGATCCTGGACCGACGCCTCATGCAAGACGATAACCGAGGCCTCGGCCAGGGCCTGAAGGATAACAAGCGGACCTGCCACCGCTTCCGCCTCCTCCTGGAACAGCGCAGCAGTGCTGAAACGGTATGAGGAGCCACTGCCGAGGCGTCCCTGTGGTGGGGCCACGCTGTGTCACACAGCCCCTCCCTCCTTGCCCGGGCTTCTTGGAAGCGCCACGCAGCACATGCCCAAGGGAAGCCTCTGGCTGGGAATTGCAGGTCCCTTCAGTGCCCCAGTTGCAGACCAGCTCCACTGCTCCCCGGGAACGGTGCAACGAAGCTCCTACTTGCTGTCTCGTGGGTATCACCCCCTCACTGGGACCGTGGGAAGCCGCAAAGGCCCTTCCGAGGAAGCGTTTGCTCCCCTTTGCCTTGATGCCCCCTTGGGCACCCGTAGCAGCACCCGGCCCGGTTCCAGACCTGGGGCTCCTTTTTCATGCCGGGAGCTCATTCACCGCGTGCCCTCTGCGAGGGAGGGGGCTTTGGAGTTAACTCCCGAGTCTCGGCTTCTGCTGTGGTCTTCTCACCCTGCTTGGCCACGTGTCTGGTTTTCTGTGTCTTGCAATCCCCCCCCCTCCCCGGTTCATTATGGCTGCTGAGCTGTCCGGTGGAACGCACTGACGCCAGAAACGCGTCTCACAGAATCTCCTGAGCTCAGTGGGAAGGATGGGTTTTAATCCAGCCACTGGACAGCAGCACGGGGGTCAGGCGTGGAGGGTGAAGGTGGGGAGAGCAAGGTACGCCCCCACCCGAGCTGGTTGGAGGCAGGGGAAGGGATCACGCGTGACGGAGGGAGGATGCCGTAGCAGCCAGAGAAGGGGAGGCCTTGTCAGCCGTCAGTCGGTGGCTGGGGGAAGGCAAGCAGGCGAGAGAGGGTCAGGCTTCCGAGGACGGACATGCAACTAGTCCCAGGGTGACGATTTATACATTAAATGTGTGAAAGGGGTGCTGAACAGCGTGGTGGGGAAGCTGGGAAAGACAACACCCTTTTCAAAGGGTGCGTGTGTGTGTGTGTGTGTGTGGAAACTGTCTCCAGCCGGAGTGGTGTAGTGGATAGTGCTGGACTGAGAACTGGGAGATCCGGGTCTAAACTCCCGCTCTGCCACGGCGACCTCAGGCCAGCCATACAGACTCGGTCTGACCTACCTCGCAGGGTGGTTGTGAGGCTAAAGGGGAGGAGAGAACTAGGTAAGCCACTTTGGGGGGGGGGAGCGGTGGGTGGAAAGAAAGCAAAGAGAACAAAATACCGCCTGGGGCTGAGCAGGGATGGAGACGGGGAAGATGAACCCCACGGCGGTCTCTGCAGAGCAAAAAGGCTCCCCTCCCCGGCTCTGTGGGGCCTTGCGGGGCCTCCCCCCCCGGGGAGCCTCTGGTCCTCCGTCGCCCCTCGGACGCAGGGCCGGGTTGCCCCCCCCACCCCCGAGCGGTTTCCCCCTTGTAACACGGCTGTTCTCCTTGACCCCCTTTCCACGCCCACCCAGAGCTCCGGCTTCTTTTCCAAACTGGCCTCCGTGGTTAGAGACTGGGTCTATTCCAGCTGGAAGGCCGATGGCCGAGAGGTAAAGCCTGCCCCGTCTCGTGCACTAGCTGGTGGTGACGTAGCTGGGCCCTGTGTCTGTGTTAGCCCAGGTGATAGCTCAGTGGGCCTAGATCCCCCTGCGCGCGACCACCCGGCCTCCGGGGCTGGGCGGACCACCCGGGACTCTCCCTGCGGAGCCTTCCTTGCACGCACCCCTCTGCATCCTCCCCGCTGCAGGCCCAGGACGGCCGGCCCATCAGCTTCCCGTCTCTGCTCAGCCACATGACTTCCATGCACCTGAACGCCGAGGTGCTGGTGATGCCCGTCGCCCAGGAGAAGCCGCCGCCTACGGCCCTGCGCTCCTTCCAGCCCTTCTCGGCCACCCTGCCCTGCGACTTCCACCTGCTCAACCTGCGCACGCTGCAGGGGGAGGTGAGTCCGAGCGCGGGAGCCTGGGCTCTGCCCTCTCCAGGTGGGTGGAGCCGCTCCCCTTGGCCTGCAGGGAGCGGCCGGGTGGCGCTTTGCCTCGTGTCGCCCATTTGTTTGCTGCCTTCCCGGTGGCATACGTGCCTGCTCCTCCACAGGACGATTCGCTGCCCTCCACGGAGACGGCTCTGATCCTGCACCGCAAGGGCTTTGACTGTGGCCTGGAGGCCAGGAACCTGGGCTTCAACTGCACCACCACCCAGGGCACGGTACGCGTGGGAGCCGAGGTTCCCCGGCCTCCTAAAGCGCCGAGCGGGAGATCGGTGGGGGCTGTAGGGGAGGAGACTGTCCCGCCGGTAAGGGAACGGAGCCCAGTTCTGCTGCTGGGGCCTCCCCTGCCCGAGTACCCGGGGGGCTGCCGCTGCCTTCACTCACCACCTGCCTCTCCTCCGCCAGCTGTCTCTTGGCGGCCTCTTCCAGGGCCTGGAGCTGGCATCCGTGCAGCCCTCCTCTTTGACCCTGATGTACCCGCTGGCCCCGGCGTCCTCTAACAGCACCGCCGTTCACCTGGGCCCCATGGAGATAGCCACGTTTCGCCTCCGCCTCGGATGACATCACTCTCCCTCGGGGGCCGGCTGGGACACCCTGGTCTGCCGTGCACTGCAGGAACAGGACCGGCCAGTGAAGCTCAGGCTGGGGTGTGGCTTGGCCCTGCGGCCGGGAGGAGGCGTCCTGCTATTTATTGCTCTCCTTTCGTAGACGCTGCTGCGTTTCAAAGGCCGGGCGGGGGGCTAGTCCGGGTGCTCTGTGGGGCTGCAGAACTGGGGGGTCCTCCCAGCCCGAGGGCCCTGGGTGTGTGTGTGTGTGTGTGTGTCTTGGGCTTGCCCTGGCCCAGGAGGAGGCCTCTGCCACTGCCCTCCCAGGGAAGGACTCCTGCCTCCTCCAGCTGTCTGTTGTGGACCACAAGCCCAGCCTGACTGGCTCCGTGAGCAAGGAGGCGACGATGCCTGGCCCTCACTGGACAGAAATGAAAGAGGCTCTGGGGGGGGGGGGGGGGGCGCCGGGGGGGGGGGAGGCTCTCACTGTGGACTTGTGGCTCTTGCTGAACCCGGGTTGGGAAGGGACTCCTTTCCAGAATACAGGGAATAATGAGGTACCTGATGCTGCTGGGCACGGCCTCCTCCTTTCGCGTGGTCAAGCGAACGGCTCCGTCTCTCAGCAACTGGATTCCATGAGGTCTCCCCCCTGGCTCTGGCAGGCTGGGAAGAGTCATGACCGCTGACCCATGGCCCACAGTGCCCATTTTAAAGCTGATCAGTGCTTGTTTACGCCATTCCCCACCCCCAGGAAAGCAGAGGTTTAGAACCCGCATTGCTTTTGTTTGGACACCCCCCCCCCCGTCAGGTTGGCTGTCCGTACTTCCCAAGGGAAGCCCTCCTGCTTATCCCCGGTGAAAGTGAGGTCTGAAGCCCTGCTTGGCCTTGGGGGTCTCCATCCAAACCACGGGTATCACTGTCAGATTGTTTATTTATTTACACACAGTACCTAATTTAAAAGCACCTACAGCATCAGGCGTCAAACAGCCAGTATAAGAACCAGTATCAGATCTCTCCTCAATGGCACTCAATGTGTGGCTTCTTCCTCCAAGGGGTGGGTTGTGGGTCGGATGTAGAGATGTAAAATTTCTGGAAATTTTGAAGCTAGGAAAAACCCCCGGCTTTTTTCCGGAAAAAAACTGCAATTTTCAGAAAAATTGAAAAAAAAATGCTACATTAGCACTTCTTTTTTCTTTTCCAGATTGAAAGTCATTCTGTTACTTTAGGAACATAAAATATGACTATGGACATTTTTACTTGGCATGAAATTATCACAACTAGCATATTATATAGTATATCCAAACAATTATTACAAACAGAATACCCACCCACATGCAAAAACAAAACTGAAACCTTTTTCTTTTCCTGTGACAATAGCACCTCCTAAAGGAAGAAATGCATCTTGTTCTTGCATTGGAGAGTTCAGTTTGTAACCTAGGACTTGCCTTGTCCTCAGTGCACAGAAATTAGATCAATCTGATACCATACATATTTTTTAGAAATGATTTGAAAAATATTTGAACACCTTGTCTTAAAATATTTTATTCATCATGTTAAAATAAAATGTTCCATAATCAATTTCACCCCCGAATTTTTCTGGTTTTTCCCTGGGCCTTCACATCTCTAGTCGGATGTGATGGGAAACGTAGCTGTCTTCAGCCACAGTCCTGGCGGAACATACCTGTCCTGCACGCCCCGTGGAACTGCATTAGCTCCCGCAGGGCATGGATGTCCCCGAGCAGAGAGTTCCACCAGGCGGGAGCCGGGGCTGGAAAGGCCCCCTGGCTCTGGCTGAGGACAGCTGGACATCTTCTGGGCCAGGGATCGCCAGAGATCAGCACCTCAGCCAGGGTCCCTTGCTGGAGGCTGCCCAAAAAGAGAAGGAGAGAGAGAGACGCTGGATTCGTACCCCATGGCCCTCCACAACCCGAAGGAGTCTCAGAGTGGCTTTACACTCTCCTTTCCCTCCCCCTCCCCACAACAGACACCCCCTGTGAGGAAGGCAGGGCTGAGAGAGCTCTTGAGAGGACTGCTCTTGAGAGGAGAGCTCTGAGAGAACTTGTGACTGACCCCAGGTCACTCCAGCTGGTTGCATGTGGAGGAGGAGTGGGGACTCAAACCCGGTTCTCCCCGATCAGAGGTCTGCGCTCCTCACCCCTGCACCCAGCGGGCTCTGGGGGTGGCTGCCTTGCAGGGATCAGCTCCTCCTCCCCCACCTGCCCGCCTCTTCCTCTGGAGTGCCTCTCGCTGTCTTGGTGACCGGCATCCGCCCGCCAGGCCGGTGGAACTCCCCAGACTGTGTTCAGGCACCTGAAAGTGGCGAAGCCGCTGCCGGCTGGCACATGGCTGGCCTCTCGCTGCCTGATGGATCCGTGGAGATGCCAGTTGTGTCGGCGTGGGGTGATGCCGGAGCCCCAGACTGGACGCTAGGAGGGGTGCCTGAGGCAGGAGCCCCCCCCGAAGGCAGAAGCGGAGGCTGCTGCAGCCAGGCAGTGGGGTCAACGTGCACAGAAGAGGTACAGAAGGAAACAGACTCCACTTGTGGAAGTGCCCACCAGGGTGCTCCTCCGTGTGCCAGGCCGTCTTTGTGGCCCGTGGTGAGTGCCTGCCCAGGCACAGCAATTGCTAAGGAGGGGGAGAGGCCGCTGGGGCGTCTGGCCAAGGGCGAGCGGCTGCCCTGTCAATGGGGGGTGGGTGGGTAAGAAGGCGAGAGCGGGAAACAGGAGGTCTGGGCAGCACCTCAGCTTCAGTCAGTGGAGAGCAGCAGGAGAAAGTGTCCTGCAGGGTAAAGGACAACCTGTGTGCAGAGGGAGGCGTGGGTCTGAACTCTGGGTGCCTCACTGTCGCCCCCACACACACACGACAGGGCTGTGGGAATCTGATGCTTCATGGGCAGTATGGCCAAGCCACCCAGCGGCTTTGTGTAGACAGGAAGGCAAAGGGGCTGTCCCTGGGACTAGAGGAGCCGAAAAAGCAAGGGGGCTGCTGCTGGCTGGCTTCCTGCTCTGGCTGCAGTCCTCCCCCTCCCAAAATGGAGCCTGCGCATTTTTAAAAAGCAGCGCAATGGGGACGGTAGTGCCACTGCTGCCGAGGGCATCCCTGGTGGCTCCACCTGTTCCATCTGCTGCAGGAGGCACCGGCAGCCTGTCCCGATCAGGGGGGCGTGTATCATCTAAGGTGCTGCTGCTCGTTCACCTCCTGGGCTTCCTCTGGGGAGCTTGTGATGCACAAATCTGTACCCCCTGCGTGCTCCCGGGGCCGAATAAGGAACGCAGGGTTGGAGTCCAGGGAGTGGATATCTGTTTATTGCAATAACAGGAGACACGGGACTGGACACCTTGGCACCCAGTAACCCCAAGCTGTATTCTGCCCCAACCAGGAAGGGCCGTAGGTCTTCTACCCCCAAATGACGTCATGACAGTTGACACAAAGAAAAATCCTCAGTTGGTGTCCAACTGGTCTCATCAATCAGAGCATCATTTGAACTGGCACTTCTCTATGGGCAAGTCCCTATTTGGATCACAACTGTCAGTAATTGTGTCAGCTAAGCTTATCTGGTCCCGGAAGAGTGGAAAACATCGACGAACAGAGAGGCCTTCTGTTGGCCTCCTCCTTGGCTTATTTGCTTCAGCCTGGAGCTGGGGAGTTTTCTGATAAGGCGCATGAAACTTCGCTCTTGGCAGACAGAGTGGGGCAGGAAGTTATTTGTTTTGAGAACACAGAGCCACGCCATCTCATAGCTGAACTGTCAGGGTGTCCTTCAGCCAGGGAGCTTGTCATTTCAAATGTACATTCCATTCCATTATTTTCTGAATCCATCTAAAAGAACCTTGGTAATTCTATTCTAAGTCTCTCCTGCTGTCAGGCCCCACAGCAACAACGAAGTAGACACTTGCAGGAAGGTTTTACTTTATTTGAAGCTATAGATGCACGGACAGGAACACTGTTAGGAATCACAAGCAAACTATGCGCATGAGAGGTTATAGTACATTCATATGCGTACCATCCAATTACTACAGTTCCCGCGCGCGCCTTTCGGCCTGGGAATCAACTGCTACTTAAAAGAAAACATGGACGAGCTTCTCAAGGCCCATCCTGATTATAGTCAAAGCAAGAACTTCAGCACTCCTCCTGTGGCCTTGAGAGATAGCTGTTTCAGCTGAAGCGGCAATTAAGCGAAGGGGAAAGCATGCGCATAGAACACAAGGTAAAACGAAACTTTGGCAGCTTGCTGGACACCTGCTTGGGCTCAATGCTAAAGATCAAACTCTGAATAAAACACCTTGACATGTCAAGAGAAATGTCAGAAATCGCAATCCTGAACCACATTCCCTGGTCCCTTGTCGGACACTTGGGAGCAGGGGGGTGCCAGGTGACCTCCCCTGTGTGCACCCCCACCCTCCTCCTCCACATCCACCCTGAGAAGGCCCCAAGGTTAGCCAGCAAGCTTCCGGGCAAAGTGGCCGGGCTTCAGGGGCCCTCCCTCCCGTACTGGTGAAGTGCTGGTCACCGCCAGACCCGCCCCCCCCCCGCCACAGGCCTCCCGCAACCCTCTCCTGTGCCCTCCCCGCCGGACCTGCTCCCAGCAAGAAAAGAAAAGCACTGTGGGCGGGATGGCTCCAGGAGGATGCCCGAGAGACCTGTCCTTAAGGTGGTGGGGCATTCCGGGGCCTGCCCCCCCACTACCGCCCAGGCCCCCCCCCCGGCTTCCCATCCC